GAATCTAAACTACATTAACCTTCAACAATACACAATACTTGAAACTATCCCTTTACTAAGGTACAACAAGAAAGTGTATGAATCAAGATTAATGTTATCGATCTCAAATTATGATAATTAGTTGATAGAAATTTGCCAAGGAAAATCATTTTTCTTTGAGATAACCGAAACAATGTTAGACTTTTTAGAATATATATGTTTTTTGTACCTATGTTGTTGAGCAACATGCTAAATATTGTTTTCTAACAATTTAATGCAATAATATATTACATATATCAATTTCAGTATTACAAAATTTAATAACAACATTGTCAAAATAAAACAATAAAGAGAGTAAATCCATTGTATTACATCATTGATGTAGCCATATTGATTTATTTATTATCAACCATCATAAATAATATTTAAATAAGATGGAACTAAAGGATGGTGATTTTGTCCGTTGTTCATAGGTGGTCACGCCCACCCCTAAGAAAGTACCTCTTATCTGCTATTCGTTTATGCTCCGATTCTTCATCCATTAACAAATTCGTAACTCATAACCCACTTTCGATTCCCTATTTAGGAATCATATCCACATAGAGCGCGAGAGAGAATCAGAAGGAGAAAAGAAAAAATGAAAAGGGGTCAGCCACAACAAGATTACAACTTCAATGACGGCGGCGGCAGCTCCTCCGCGGCACCCGGTGGGGCTTCGGATTGGAGGTCTGATGTCGCCGGGAAATCAAATATGTGGGATGAAACTGGAAAACAAGATGGTGGCGATGATGAGTTGTTTGCGATGCTCGGGTACAATCTTAAATCGTCCGACATGGCTGAAGTCGCCGATAAAATTCAGCATCTTGAAGAAGCTTTGGTGAATGACGTCGAATTATCTCAACTTGCCTCTGATTCTGTTCATTACAATCCTTCCAATCTATCGACATGGCTTGAGACTATGATGGTCGAGTTGAACCCTACAAGTCAACAACTTGTGGCCGATGATTCCGCTATGAACACCGCCACCGCCGTCGCCATTGCCGACGTTCCAGCGAACGATAACGCAACCGCGGCGGTGCAACCAACTTCTGTCTTCATGGGAAATCTTGTATCGGTCCCGGATGTCGTCGCGATTCATTCTCCGGTTAAAAGAATGAAACCCTCAAGGGTGTCGGTGGCGTCGACTTCAAACAATCCAAACGCGGTGGTGCTCGTGGATTCACAGGATAACGGGATTCGTCTTGTACACACTTTACTTGCGTGTGCAAGAGCTGTACATGAACAGCAGATCCAACTGGCCGAAAACCTAGTGAAACATGCCGGAATGTTAGCTGTGTCTCAGCCGGGACCGATGAAGAAAGTAGCCGGTTATTTCTCCGAAGCACTTGCCCGACGAATCTACCAAGTTCGGCCTCAGACCCCACTAGATTCGCCGGCGTATAATGATCGTCTTCAGACCCACTTTTACGAGGCCGGCCCGTATATGAAATTCGCCCACTTCACTGCAAATCAAGCGATACTCGAAGCTTTTTCCGGCAAAGATAGGGTTCATGTGATTGATTTTAGTATGAAACAAGGTACGCAATGGCCGGCGTTGATGCAGGCCTTGGCTGTTAGACCTGGTGGTTCTCCTTCGTTCCGATTAACCGGAATTGGCATGGCTCCGGTGGATAGTATAGATAATATGCAGGAATCCGGTTGGAAGTTGGGTCAGTTGGCTGATGCAATTAATGTCAAGTTCGAGTATAAACCTTTGATTGTCCAGAGTTTGGCCAATATTGAACCGGGTATGCTTGATCTGAGAGCCGATGAGGTGATCGCCGTTAATTCAATTTTTGACTTCCATAAGTCGCTAGCTAAACCGGGAGCTTTCGAGAGACTGTTATCAACGGTGAAGGCTATGAAGCCGGAGATTATAACAGTGGTGGAGCAAGAAGCCAACCATAACGGGGTTGATTTTATGGAAAGGTTCAACGAGTCGTTGAATTACTATTCCACCCTTTTCGACTCACTGGAGAGCAGCTGTATTAGTAGTGGTTCTCCGGTGACGTATAATAAAGATAAGGTCATGACGGAGATGTACCTAGGGAAACAGATCTGTAACGTGGTTGCATGTGAAGGTGAAGACCGAGTTGAGCGACACGAGACGCTAATTCAGTGGAAGACTCGGTTTGAGTCTGCCGGATTTCAGGCGGTTCATTTTGGTTCCAACGCCTTCCGGCAGGCTAGTATGTTACTGGCAATCTTCGCCGGTGCTATTGGGTATAAGGTACAAGAAAACAATGGTTGCTTGATGTTGGGTTGGCATACTCGACCTCTGATCACCACCTCCGCTTGGAAACTCAGGTGAACTCGGATGAGTCAACACAGTTGCACTAAACATGGTAAATTGGTGTCAACTGGGTTTCAACTTTCAACTGCTGAGCTGGAAGTACTAAATGAGGTCCACTTTCGTAGAGCAACCTTTTTTTTTTTTTGGTATTTGTTTCTTTCATGTTTTTTTTTTTTTAATATTTTTCTTCTAAATATATACAAAACAAACAGTTTTAGTTTTGTTATAAAATAATTAGCATAGACTAAATATCATACGGAACTACTGAACTATTAGAAATCGGTTTGCATCATCTAACTTGTTATATTTTCGTGTTTGATACGTAATTTAAAAGATACAGAATTTATGATGAAATTGATTTAGTTGGAAACTTATTCATCCTGTTAGAAAATATCTATATAAATTACTATAAACAGAATTTTATATAATGAAGTCTCTATATCATGAAATGAAATGAAGTTTCTTTTTTTTTTATCACATATTCTCAAAAGTGAAAATCAATAGTGGAAAAGTAAGAGATAATGTTATTGCATTCTTAAAAGGTCAAACATTGACCTTGTTATAGGTTAGAACAAATTAGTTAAAAATGAATTCTACCTAAGAGATAATGTTATGCAAAAATGAACATTCTTTGTTGTCCCTAATAGACAACTTTCCTTTTTGATTTACAAATATTTTCCATACATTGAACCAAAGAGATATTGTTATGCAAAAATGAACATTCTTTGTTGTCCCAACCATGATGAAATATTAAAATTAAAATAAAATTAATAATAAAAAAAAGACAATGATATGCATGAAAACAATGATATTTTACATCCATGTGATGTTTCCACCAGGACACTATACAAACGTCCTTCAGTTTAGCATATATATATCCCAGATTTAGCAACAAAAACCTTACCTTTAAAATCTGATATCTATAGTCATCTATAGAATAGATACAAGTGGATGTTTTGTAACAAGTAGTCAACATTTAAGAATGTTGGACAGATTAATTGAAGAATAATCACGAAACAACAACAAAACTCAAACATAAGTAGTCACATAAATCCCCAATGTAATCATGAAAGGAGTCGAGAATCTAGGGAACGTAATAAAGACAAACCCAAATATGATGGGAGATCATTAAGAAACTAACTAAAGAGGCTTACAAAACTTAACTCTAACGGTGAATACACATACAAGGCATGAACTCACCAAAAAGGTAGGAAGCCTATAAAGAACCAACAACTAAGATCATAATTTTAAGAAACACGTCATTGACAAGGGAGCTCGTGGATCATCCAATGAAATCATAATAATTTTCCAATCTACCTCCCAATTAGTGATCATGGATAAACAACCTAAATGCTTGACTTTCTTAAGTTAGATGCAATAAAGTGAAAGAAGCACAATAATATCCGTTGTATATCATATTAAGAAACTATCATCATATTTAAAGCAAGGAACAGTGACAAAATAGAAACTCTATCAACAATCGTCATTTTGAAGCTATAAAAACTTACAAACCGGGGAACCTCGATTTAAATTCACCTTCAAACATATACATATTCCTTGAAACATCTTAAGTACAACAAAAAAATAGTTTGATAATCTTCTTAAATGATAAGGTTTACTTAGGTTAGTTTGAAACTTGGAGTCTTGGACCATTAACAAAAAGCTTTCACAATGCATAACATGACACTGAATCAATCACATTCAGAACCAAAAACAATAAATAGAAAAATATGCTAAACCATCAATCATGTTTGCTTACTCAAGGAAGGGCAAGAAAGGAAATAAACCATTACTCACTTATTCAAGAAAGGGAAAGAAATCAAAGTAAATGTGAATAAGCAATTCGTGAGAAGTAGGGGCAATTAAGTAATTTACTTTTTTCAGTTATGTTTTTTATATAGTTAGGAGCTGTTATGAGGGGGTCATTCACTTAAGTTGTAGTTTATTTTCTTTGGGAGACCCCCTGACATCTCGAACTGCCAGAATTTCTATCTTTTTATGCAATCTTTTGATTGTTGGAATCCTAAGTCGATGATGACTTGGAGACCAAGCAATCTAATTTATGGAAAGTTTAGTTTATGGCAAATTGGTCATAAGTTTCCTAGTCTAATACAAGTTTGTTAGGCTATATATATGTGTCCATAATCGAGTTTATGATTATGAGAACAGATTGTAAAAACATTGGTTTTGAGTGATTTTCCAATTAATCAAAGAGTTATTTTGGTTATTTGTTTTGCATTCTTGTTTTCAAAACTTTAATTGGTATCAGAGCAAGGTGAAGACGGTGCCGGTTTGAGAGTCGGTTTCAAGAATACCGTAGCCTTTCGCTATGGGGCAGACGCAGCGGGAACCGGGTTCGTTTTAAGGGGGTGTGGATTGTTTTTGATTACGAGTTGAAGCATCTCAACAGCAGCCTCGATTTTTCTTGACCGGGCTGGTTCTAAGGTAGAGAGAGACCAACCGGATGCACAAAATAAACGGACGAGAAGATGTCAAAGCGGGTGATTTTGATTCGGTTCGTTTTGCGAGTGACGGAAGACGGTAAATGTGGTCGTGACCTAGTTTTGTTGTTAGGTGGAAAGTTGCTCTCAGAACAAGCTTGATAAAGACGTTGGGGTGGTGAAAAAAGATAATAGGATGTTGATCGGGTTGAAGAATTCTCTAGAAGGACTTAGAGATTCGGGGGTGATTGTTGGAATCCTAAGTCGATGATGACTTGGAGACCAAGCAATCTAATTTATGGAAAGTTTAGTTTATGGCAAGTTGGTCATAAGTTTCCTAGTCTAATACAAGTTGGTATGTTAGGCTATATATATGTGTCCATAATCGAGTTTATGATTATGAGAACAGATTGTAAAAACATTGGTTTTGAGTGATTTTCCAATTAATCAAAGAGTTATTTTGGTTATTTGTTTTGCATTCTTGTTTTCAAAACTTTATTGATTATCAGTAATATGAAGTTAATTTGTTGAATCTCATAGTTTTCTGTATTCAAGGTTGCAGAACTCGTTACTCGGTACATGTTCGGCTGACTACCGAGTAGCAAGTACCCGGGAGTACTCGTATTCGCTAATTCATGTAGAAATATTTTTAGGGAAATTATATATGTCAAAATCATAAGTTGATTGAAATATATAACAAAATTAGATACATGTGAATACACAAAAGCTAAAAAACACATAATGATCTTACTTCGTGAATAATTACTGAAAATTAAAGTTATATATGTACTAATAATCTTATGTATGTGTTAAATAAGAAATCATTAAGTATATTATACATCTTAATCACCGAGTTAATCGTGTTTTACAACACTAATCAGTTCGGTAAAGTGGTTGATCTGGGAGTACTCGGGATTCTGTAACTTGCATCGGTAAGAGGCCAAGTAGCGAGTACTCAGAGGAGTAATCAGCCAAATCGGCGAGTTTTACAATACTATCTATATTACATCTTGATATTTTGTTTGATTAATTACAACAAGTAACATCTTAGCAAAATATCAAATGATTATTTTCAAAGGTGAACTCAAGGAAATATGTACGACTTTGAACTTATAGCTGATAAATTTTGGAAAAGGACCCCTAAACCTTCTGTTTTTAACCTTGAGCAACCTTCTCAACAAGAACTTTAGCCTCCTGTCAAGAACATCACAGCAAGTTAGATCTTCAATTTTAGCAACAAAATCAAGAAAACAAGAAATTACTGCACATATAAGTTCACCATGTTCATATGTTAGGATGAATTAATCCTGGAAGTAAATCATAAATGTTAATTCTAAGCACAGTTATTAGCAGACGAAATAAACTAGTGTGCGATGGATGAAGCGTGACCCCAAAATCAACTAAGGTATACCAACAATGAACAAGGTATTACTATGAAGAAGTTGCTCTAAATCTTTCTGGTGATGTGGTTTTTTGCCATAGACGAAGAGTGGGGATGTGGAAAAGAAAATCAAGTGTGCGATGGATGAAGGGAAATTGATTTTAGGGGTTGCAACCACTTGAGACATAGATGATGCTTACCTGAAACATAAGCGCCCCACATCAATTTCTTACTCACCAATCATCAATTTCACTGTTTTGATTTCAATAGCACCATTAAACAAAACTTTTGAGTTTCCTATCAAGACTGAGGGGGAAAGAAGAAGTGGGGTCATTTGCTAGAAATTAAGGCTTTGTCACTTTGTTGTTGTGTGGAGGCAAGCAATCACATGAACAGAAAAGAGAAAAATAGGGGTTACCTCTTCATTCCATCTCCAATTCAATGTCAAAATTGAACAAATAGAAAAAGAATGTCGTTTTCTTCCATAATACACAACTTCCTTATCTTTTCTTTCATTTCGATTCTTGTAGGCTATTGGAAAGATCGTGTTAGTTTATGCAACGTTTTTTGAAGCGGTAGGATCGTCAGGTGTCACGAAGGGAAAGAAAGGCGAAGAGAGACGTCGATTTGCGCTGCCAATTTTGTATCCACCATATATTAATCTTTAAAGTCATCACACGCGCAGTACGCGCTTCATAAAAAAATAAGGTTTTATATATATATATATATATATATATATATATATATATATATATATATATATATGAGATCTTGTTAATTTTATGATACATTGATACGCGATCCTAGCCACTAATCTTGGATATCAGAAAATAAAAAAGAAACTAATCTAAAATACAAACTAAAAGAAAAAAAATTCAAAAATTATTTTTTAATTATCATTTTTGTCATTTTATTTACCCAAAAAAACCTAAAAAATACTATTTTTTAAAATATATGTCAAATATTCTAATAGAATATTACAATGTAATATTTAAATATAATTTATAGAATGTTAAAATATTCTAATATTCTACTAAAGTTGTTAGATATATTAAAATATACCAATATTCTACTAACACTGCTACAATTTATAAAATATTCTAATATTCTATGAAAATTGTTTGAATATATATTGTCTAATATTCTAATCGAATATATGAATATTCTAAAAGTTTTGTTGTATATTTTATACTATAATATTTTATTAGAAATTTCATAGATATTT